ATTCTATTCTAAAACATATGGAAGCTTCAAACTCAAATTTAATTCTAAATGCACAACGACATTCAGATCAATTACCGACGAGTTCACGAAATCAAATTGGACGACAACAGCAACATGTACCATTAGCAACGAAAAAAAATAAACGAAGAAAAAAATGTCATGGTAATCGTAAATTACAACGATTTAAAAAGAAATGTCGTAAACGTGGTCTCACCGAAGAAGAAATACAAAAATTAATTAATGAATATAATCATAGTAATCAAGATAGAAACCAAACTAATAATCGGAAAACGAATTTACAACAAAATACAACAATTGAAAAAATGGAAGTGTCCAATGGCTTAAATGACAATATCAATGAAAATGATACAACAACATCAAAGTCAAATAAACGTAAACAACAAATGACACCCTCATCAAGTCAACGATCAACTTCACGTCCATCAGTTAAACGAATGAAAAGAAGCAAGTCATCACAAATTACTATGACTTCATTAAAATCAAATTTTAAATTACCAATCTACTTGAAAGCACATCCAAATTTACTATTTCGAACTTTACGTCTACTATTGAAGCATACTTTAAAAAAAAAATCTGAACGACAATTTCTTCATTCTCGACTTCAATTATTAGATCAACAATGTCGTCTTGAACTTCGTCAAAATTTATGGCAATCATATCTTAACTTAGGAACTGAAAAGGAAGTGTGGCCAGTAAGTTCAAAAAAATTTCATTATATTATATTTTTTTTAAATTCATATAGAATGTAATAGTGAAAATGGCAAAAACTGATGAACATTTAGTATGTCAACAATTTGTACAGAAACATCTCAATGAAATGAAAATTAAATATGATCAGTTTACAAATGAATTAAAAACACAATTGCAATCGTGTCCAGTAACATTATTACCGTTACAGTCTATCCTCGACCAACATCTTAAAGAATTTGTTCAATTACAACAAAAATATTTGGCAACAAAAATGCAATATCAACTCAGCCGATATCAAGATATGATTACAGAAATCGAATCATTTCAAATTTTATCGAGTTTTCCTCTAACAAGTGATCAAGTAAATTAACTTTAGTTATTGAAGCTTCTCTTTTTATTTATTTTTTTCGTAGCAAAATACGATCGATCGACTTATACATTTACAAGAAAAACAAGTACAATTCTTCGAAAATCTTCTAAAATTAGAAGCTCGAGTATCAATTGATTTTTTACCTCGAAGTTTTGACGAATTACAGGATTTTATTGTAGTCAATGATTATTTTCCTTTAATTAAAGACAATATAGCTGTTGAATTTAAACAAAACAGCTATAAAATTATACAAGAAACAAAACGTACATGGTTAAATACATACGTCGATGCCTATGAAAATGAAATAGAAAAATTTGAACATCAATATGAAGTTGAATTACGACAATTCGGAATAGCTAATCCAAGTCATGCTTGTATAAATAATGGAACAACAACTATAGTTAATGCTTTTCTGAATTATATCAATCGTCGAATAAATAGAATGAAAGAAGAGATAGCGTATCAAAAAATATCTGTTTATCGGAAAAAATTATTACGTGTACAGCGACGTTTAAAATCTACAAATAAAACAATCAGTGTCAAGCCAAATGTTATCGTCGATCTCATCGGTCATCCATTTACTGCTGCTCAGCTTGCTTATATTTCAAGAGGTAAGACTCTTTTTTTTTCTAAGTTATTTAATATTGATATTCTCCTTTTTATTTTATTTTTCTTCAGGACCAACTCATATACGACCGAATCCAAGTGTATTTTTTCCAGAAAAAACTCTACAAAAACGAATTGATAGGGAACATGATGATACAATGAAAAAACTTAAGAAACATATGTCCAATGTGACTGATCTACCAAAAATACCACTCACATCACCATTATATAAATCATATTCTAGCCAACTTCGATCTTATTTATCTCAAAGTTATATGACACTAATACCATTAATCGACCAAATACGTGCTCTACGTGAATTAAAAATGATTCAATCAATTCGAAAAAAATTAAAAAAATTAAAACTTATATTACGTGAAACAGATAAAAGTGGTGTACTTCATATTGGTTCTGCTATTGATTATGAACGAAAAGCAGCTGAATATCGACGAACAACAGGTGCTTATGAAGAATTAACTTCTAATCCATTTAGTGATATCATCTGTCAGGTAACTCGTTTACTTAATCAATTAAAATCATCGAATCGAATACGTGAATGGCAACGAATCAAAATGATGCCTATTCGAGAGAAGACTGAATTAGCTTATATGTATTTTATTCCTAAACCACATAAGGTAACCAACATTTTATACAATTTTTTTTCTCCATCTTATATTTATTAATAAAAATTTTATTGTTTTTATAGAAAGATACACCACTACGACCGATTTTAAATACAATTCATGCAGCAACAAAACAAATTTCTCAATTCTTAGATAAATTAATTCGACCCTTATTCGATCGATTTGTACGTCAAACAACATTTGTAGATGGTGCTGATCTTCTTGATCAACTTCAAAAATATATTCAAAAAGGTTATTTTAATTCATCAACTCTTTTCATTACTTTCGATATTACAAATCTTTATACAATGTTACCACAAGAAGAATCTTTAGTTATACTTGCTGAATTTCTTCGTACACATAATTGTGAAAGAATTAATGGTCTTGCAATTGATACTATTGTCGAGTTAGCTCGTGTAGTACTTCAAGCAAATGCTTTTGTTTATAATAAAAAGTTTTATCGACAAATTATTGGTGGTGCTATGGGATCAGCATTTACATTAACATTAGCAAATATCTTTATGTGGAAATGGGAAAGGCAAACTATTCTACCAAAATTACTTTCACATGAATTATATGGCCGGTATGTATATTCTTTAGAGTTCCATAGAAATTTAGTTTTAAGAATTTTTCCATTATAGATATATTGATGATGTCTTCTTTACATGTAACCAATCGGAAGACAAGGTGAAAGAATTATTAGAAGCAGCAAATAAATTTCATCAAAATATTAAATTAGAATATAAGATTAGTAAAAGTGTTCCATTTCTTGATGTTTATGTTGAAAACAAAAATGGTATTTTGGCATCATCACTCTATCATAAACCTTCAGCTGAACCAACTGTGGTATCATTTTTATCAGATCATCCACGACATGTATTTCGAAATGTCATTCAAACTGCTCTTACTAGAGCTATACGATATTCATCAACATTTGAAATATTTAATAATGAACGGCGTGCCATACGTTTAATGTTCTTATATAATGGGTAGATCATCATTTTTTTTAATCTATTGCATCACTATTTTTTTTTTGTAGATATCCATCTAATTATATTAACCAACAATTCGAAAAATTCTTTGCTGACTATAAGACATCAACTTCTTCGTCAATTTTACCAATGATTACCGACGAAAGTCAATT